GCAGTCCTTTAAGCCGTCCCGCTGTGCCGGCAGTCCTGTGAGCCGTCCCGCTGTGCCGGCAGTCCTGTGAGCAGTCCCGCTGTGCCGGCAGTCCTTTAAGCCGTCCCGCTGTGTCGGCAGTCCTGTGAGCCGTCCCGCTGTGCCGGCAGTCCTGTGAGCCGTCCCGCTGTGCCGGCAGTCTTGTGAGCCGTCCCGCTGTGCTGGCAGTCCTGTGAGCCGTCCCGCTGTACCGGCAGTCCTGTGAGCCGTCCCGCTATACCGGCAGTCCTGTGAGCCGTCCCGCTGTGCCGGCAGTCCTGTGAGCCGTCCCGCTGTGTCGGCAGTCCTGTGAGCCGTCCCGCTGTGCCGGCAGTCCTGTGAGCCGTCCCGCTGTGCCGGCAGTCTTGTGAGCCGTCCCGCTGTGCTGGCAGTCCTGTGAGCCGTCCCGCTGTACCGGCAGTCCTGTGAGCCGTCCCGCTGTACCGGCAGTCCTGTGAGCCGTCCCGCTGTGCCGGCAGTCCTGTGAGCCGTCCCGCTGTGCCGGCAGTCCTGTGAGCCGTCCCGCTGTGCCGGCAGTCCTGTAAGCCGTCCCGCTGTGCCGGCAGTCCTGTGAGCTGTCCCGCTGTGCCGGCAGTCCCGTGAGCCGTCCCGCTGTGCCGGCAGTCCTGTGAGCTGTCCCGCTGTGCCGGCAGTCCTGTGAGCCGTCCCGCTGTGCCGGCAGTCCTGTGAGCCGTCCCGCTGTGCCGGCAGTCTTGTGAGCCGTCCTGCTGTACTGGCAGTCCTGTGAGCCGTCCCGCTGTGCCGGCAGTCCTGTGAGCCGTCCCGCTGTGCCGGCAGTCCTGTAAGCCGTCCCGCTGTGCCGGCAGTCCTGTGAGCCGTCCTGCTGTACCGGCAGTCCTGTGAGCCGTCCCGCTGTGCCGGCAGTCTTGTGAGCCGTCCTGCTGTACCGGCAGTCCTGTGAGCCGTCCTGCTGTACCGGCAGTCCTGTGAGCCGTCCCGCTGTGCCGGCAGTCCTGTGAGCCGTCCCGCTGTGCCGGCAGTCCTGTGAGCCGTCCCGCTGTGCCGGCAGTCTTGTGAGCCGTCCTGCTGTACTGGCAGTCTTGTGAGCTGTCCCGCTGTGCCGGCAGTCCTGTGAGCTGTCCCGCTGTGCCGGCAGTCCTGTGAGCCGTCCCGCTGTGCCGGCAGTCCTGTAAGCCGTCCCGCTGTGCCGGCAGTCTTGTGAGCCGTCCTGCTGTACTGGCAGTCCTGTGAGCCGTCCCGCTGTACCGGCAGTCCTGTAAGCCGTCCTGCTGTACTGGCAGTCTTGTGAGCTGTCCCGCTGTGCCGGCAGTCCTGTGAGCCGTCCCGCTGTGCCGGCAGTCCTGTGAGCCGTCCCGCTGTGCCGGCAGTCCTGTGAGCTGTCCCGCTGTGCCGGCAGTCCTGTGAGCCGTCCCGCTGTGCCGGCAGTCTTGTGAGCCGTCCTGCTGTACTGGCAGTCTTGTGAGCTGTCCCGCTGTGCTGGCAGTCCTGTAAGCCGTCCCGCTGTGCCGGCAGTCCTCTGAGCTGTCCCGCTGTGCCGGCAGTCCTGTGAGCCGTCCTGCTGTACTGGCAGTCTTGTGAGCCGTCCCGCTGTGCCGGCAGTCCTGTGAGCCGTCCCGCTGTGCCGGCAGTTTTGTGAGCCGGTGGCAGCACTGCCGGCCTGCCCGGCCGAACCTGCGCCTTCGGCCACGCTGGAGCGGCGCCGCGACTCCAGCGCGCTCGATCTCGAGGAGCGCCGCGACGTGAGGGTGCACTGCTCCTGCACCTACCCCAGCGGACACGCGCTTATGTCCGAGGAGACCGGACAGGTCGACACGCAGCTGCTCACCGTCTACACGTGCCGGAGGGTGAGGCGGGGTCGCCGCCCTGCCGGGCGCTGGCGGCGCAAGGGATTGAGCTCAGTCATCAACTATGTAGATCGGACGGGCAGAGGCATGCATAGCTGCTGCAGCCAGGGGGTTGGACGGCAATGAGTCAAGTTCAGACGCTGGACAGGAGAGTTGGCGGGGGGGGGGGGGGGGGGGGGGGAGGGAGGTATTGAAGGCCATGATCTTCAGTTGTCTGGGAGTTAAATCGAGCCCTTGAACAATGGCTGACCGAGCAAGTTAAAGCATATTGTATGGTAATGGCCATGCAGTGGACTAGAAGATATGCCGCCTTTGGACACCAGACACGACAGAAACTGATTAATTTTCGGGGTCGGTCCCCGAGTTCGTGATTGGCATTGCGACGCACTTTTTCCTTAGACCCTTCCTCTCAGTATCCACTGAAGTTCTGTAAATTGACTGAATAACAAGGATCCGTGCCAATGCTGCACTGGAGAAAGCTCCTGAAGACATACATAAAACTCCTCTCCATTTCTTCGTTGCGGCATTCCGGTGAAGTGTTGTCTCCAAAGTGACTTTACCGAGGCAGGTTTTGCGATGTCGCGACGCCCTAGCCTGCCTCAGTGTGTTGAAAAGGAATCGAGGCCCCCTGTGCACAAATATGAGTTCTTTATACTTGATCGTATCAATTTCTGACCAGAGTAACGACGGATCAGAGTTTTCACTAAGCATGGTTTACGACGAGGGCGGTGATCTCGCCGCACTTGTGACCCAAGGGATGACCTGCTTCTGCCTCAGTCTGTTCGTTAAATCGCGCCGGAGGTTTTTACGTGCCACACAATCTCCTATCTGTAGAAATGGTGCAGTTGGCCCCTCATTCTCGGGGATTTGAGCCATTTATATGGGACCTGAACCATTCGGTTCACAATTACGTAAATTGTTCAGTGCATTTGCGAGGAACTTTATTCACATATATAAGATAGCAGCAATAGCCTTATTCCTCGAAGAAAAAAAACTTGAAAAATGGAGATATTGATGGGTTGATACTTCGACAGCGTGCCTTTAATGACATAATAACAGAAGTTTCTGCGATGTGGACAGAGAGACTTCTATATCAAGCCATCTATACCTTCATTCTCCCGTTTTTTTCTCTCCAAGGAATAAGGCTATTACTTCTGTCTTATCTATGGGAACACCTTGGATGCTGTGCCGCAAACGCTCTGCATCTGTCACACGATGCGAGCCAAGACCAACATGCTAAAAACTTCACCGCTGGTACAGACATCATTTTACCGTTATTTTCAAAATGAGCCATTTAGACGATAACAGTTCCTTGGTGTTAACGCTGTTGAATGAAATGCCCGTTAATTGAAAAAAATGTTTGTAGCCCATTATATTTGTCCTCAGATAAAACCAATCTTCAACTCCTCCTGGGACAGACCTGCGGTATGTAAACTAAAAATAAGATAAGGCGCCACATAACGGCTCCACAAGTCATTTCAAAAACTCATTCTACATCGCCTATTCAAGTTTATTTGCGGTAGTTGCAAGGCAGGCGTAATGTGGTCCACTGAAAGAACTAGATCAGACGATTTTGCCTGCGTGCTCCTAGTGGCGTGCTTTGCATGCCAAGGATTTCTTGCGCGCCATTTAATGTCCGATAAATGTGGAGATCAAGTCTAAGCACTCAGTTCTCCTCCTCCGGTTTGGAAGTCCTCAGTCTAGCCGAATTCCAAGTCATTTCAGAGAGAGGCCTGGACCCTATGAAGCCATGTGCGATGTTAGGGGTGCTGCTTCGGCCGCCACGAGTGCTGCTGACGAGAACGAATGGTGAGCACTGTCACAAGGGTAGCCATTCCAGACGCTCTGGTCGTTTATGCTCATGAAGGGACTGCCATTTGCATGGTTTGCATGGCGTTGTGGGCCATGAAACTGGAGACCCGTCTGCGCTGTAATATAGCTGACGGGTCCAGCATTCCGGAAGCTGTGGCGGCTGTGCCTGCGCGTGCTGGGCGTAGAAAGCTTTACGGGCCTAACAGAAAATATGTTGTTGAAAACATCGACATCTAAACACATAAGTACATAAATGCATGCTGATTCAGAACCAGGCTGTGTTCGACTCGAGCTGAATCGTGAATTAGCTCACGAGTCAATCGTGAATTAGTTCACGAGCCAATCGTGAATTGGCTCCCGAGCCAGTCGTGAATTGGCTCCCGAGCCAGTCGTGAATTGGCTCCCGAGCCAGTCGTGAATTGGTTCAGGAGCCAGTCGTGAATTGGTTTACGAGCCAGTCGTGAATTGGTTCACGAGCCAGTCGTGAATTGGTTCACGAGCCAGTCGTTTTGGGGTGAGCCGCGAGCTGAGCCGCCTCATAAGGAAACAGGCGGCTTTGAGCCATGGGCTGGATCACATTCTGTGTAAATTTCAGGAGCTGAATCGTGAGCCGATCATTACTAACAATATCATGTCAGCGGTCCATGCCGGTCGAAGTAAGATGGTAACGTTAGGAAACACAGCGCGTCCCAGGCAAGCTAACAGACCAGTTTCGAGTGCTGAGAGTGTTGAAATGAACAGCATTCAGAGTAAGTAATCAATATTTTTTGAAAAAAATAAGCACATTGTTATTGTACTTTCGAAACAACAAACACGATATTGTTAATCTGAATTTAAAGCAAACGAAAGCCTAAAAGTGTGATAACACTTCGCTTCTGGGAAACCCTCCATGCCCTTTTATTGTACTTCCAGGTCATGTCTTGGACTCCATGGCGCGTCCGTGCCGCTGCGCAGAACGATCATGCTTACAGCTGTGCAGCATTTCCCGAGCTTTGTTGCTCGTGAGACACGATCCAAGTATGCTTGGAGCTAAAACACGAGCCGGGTGACAATCCACGCTGACGTTAGGAACTTTCGGTAAAAGTCAGCACCTCACCGCTGATGGAAATCACAATCTTCGAATTTGCTTTTGTCGCGAAGTGGCTGCAACTTGGGAGGCTACAAGTGAGAAGTTTGTTTGAAGGTGATCATACTTTAACTTTTGTAACCATTATTCACTTGCTCGTGCCACTGTTACTGTATACACAGGAGAATCATTAATGTTTTGATTTGGAGCGGAGCATTGTTTCAGAAAGGATTTAACATGAACATCTTGAAGACAACATGAATCTGATAACATAACATGAACATGAACATGAACATTGCTACTTTTCACGTGCTCATTGTACCGTTGCATATTAATTTTTACGCCTGGAGTTGGGCGTTGACATGTCTGCCTCAGTAGCTGCAGCCATCTGACTATTGTTTGGTTCCACCCCCTGGCCCGTGTTGGTGTCAGCATCAGGTGGCCGCGCTCGGTGACGGCATTCACTAGGTGCAGCCGCCCGGACCTCCGTCAGGGGGGAGGGGGGTCTGCAGCCGCGTGGCGGCCGGCTTCTGTCAACAGCGGCGCGTCGTACCTGGCGCGGCACCCGACAAAGCGCCCTGCCAGCGGCGACATTAAATCCGTGTAGCGGCGGCCGGTGTGGCCGGCGGGGGCCGCGCGCCGCGGGCCGGTGCCAGCCGCCGGCGCCGGGCGGCGCCTCGCTCGCATCCATCAGCGCTGTCCGGAGCGGCGTCCGGCGACAGACGACGCCGGCCGTGACGGATCGGCGCGCCGTCGGAAGGGTCGGCCCGTGCCCCACGAGGCACCGCTGGACAGGACACAGGCGCCGGCCGTGCATGCTATTTCCGGCTGGGGCGGCAGCAGCCGCCGCCGGCCATCCGGCAGCACTTTATTAATCGTTAATCAGAGCAAATGTCCACGGATGGGGAGGGCGGCGGGGCGACGTGGGCGCGTGGACTGCGCCGGGCGTGTCTGTGCCACTTCTCCGATGTTGTGAGAAGCGTTGGGTAGGGGGGGGGGGGGGGCAATCAGGACCTGAGAAAGTCTGAACTGCATGCTGTTTTCGTCGGAGATGTACGAGGAGCGTTCAACTGACGAGCAGCAGGGGAAAGCCCATCTTCGTCAAATCCGGAGGGATGTGCAGCCCACTATCCCGCTCTTGCTTTCGTGCGCCAGCGCGTGCGGGGCGGAAGCTGCGCCGACCGACTGGTGGCGATAGACCGGCTATTGGCATCATCAACGCGGCGAGCTAAATTAGCATTAATTGGGCCCGTGTGAGTGACGGACTTGCCACCCATTGCCGCCGGCGCTGACGGCAGAGGCGGGCAGATGGGGCTTAATTAACCCTCAGCGTTCGCGCAGCGTCAGGCGGCAGCAGGAGTGGTGCCAGCAAGGTGCGCCATCGGGCCAGGCGGCGCATCGGCTTACTCCGCACTCTAGTCGAGCCCGGCGGCCGCGCGGTGCCACGTCGAAACTTCCAGCGAGCGAGCGCTGATTGGGTGTTGATGAAAGCTCCGTGAGTTGTTTTGTCTTCGGGTTTCCAAAGGTTTTTCGGCCCCAGCTGACCCTACAGACGCCGATTTTGGCGCCGCCGCACCATGTATGGATTGCAAAACGGACACAACGATATTAGGCTTGTCCATAAATCATGCTAAGTGGACAGGGAACCATGGCTTAGTGCATGGCTTGATGTCCACGGCGGACGGAATCGGACGCATATTAAGCGAGGCATGAAGCTGCGTTGCTTAACAAACACGATAAATTACTTTATAACAGATGCTATGTGGTGTGAAGCTCGTTAGTATTACATTGGATGAGCACAACACCCATAAGGACCCCACTTTGACGCAACTCTGAAGAATTTATTTAAAAGGATCGCACCTGTCGCATATATGGTTTGGACTAAACACGGGAAATGCTGCACCGTCCTCTCCCGCTATGGTTTGCTAACCACTACTCGCTCCTTGATAAAAAGCTATACCTTGGCAGACATTTTTGATCAGGAAGGGCGAATGTTCAAAAAACAAAAAAATATCACAATGGTAGGGAGAAGTCTGCGCACATTTCTATGTAGAACGTATGCAGCTCAGAAAACACATTTTCAGCACCCAGTTCAACCTCCTGCTCAGTGTTATTTGATATGTGATCACAGCGCCTACAGGTCCCTCAATACATCTTCTTTGATCACGCCAAGTCGCAAATGGGATCTTTACGAGAGCGCCGAATCCCCCTCGTTGGCACCACGCATGTTGATCTTAAATAACGGTGATAGTTTTCTCCCCGTCACGGGTGGTCGTAAATCACGCACTTCAAGGCACCGCCTGCGAATCGAGCGGAGCAGAAGCCGTGTTTTCTCTGCGCCCGTCTGCCAGTGTCGATCGCGTCTGTCACGCGGCCCGGTCACGTCCACGCATGTTAGCCGCAGCACGCGAGTCGCCTTCAGGGCGCGAAGACGGCGCGGCGGCTCGGTACATCGAGCGCGGTATCTGCACCACAGCTCTGTGGCGGCCGACACCGCAGCCGGCGCTTCAGCACCGGGCGATGACCCGCCGCCCCCTCCGCGAGAAGCCTGGGTGCATACTGCCCTGCCAGACACCATATTGCGGCGTGCCAGCCACGCTGCAAAAGAGGCGCCTCATTCACGCTACACGTGTTGAACGGGCGTGCGAGCTTTCAGCTTGATGCCGTGCATAACCAGCGGTAGGTTGCCCTGAACTTTACGAGCGGCCGGTCTCTCTTTCATGCCGACCGGCGACCTGAAAAGATCAGTACTGGGGGAGATGGGATAGTGCAATTCCGTTCGAAAATATCCATTTACTCCAGCTGAGCCGCATTCTTATAGTTTTAGTTTTGAAAACTTTAGAAGGGTTCTGGCGAACTCACCGAACTATTTCTAAATACACTGAAGATAACCCTATCGCGCCCCTTCCACACGTTTGTCTCTGTGGCCCAATGCAAGGCGCAAACCACTCTCCAAATTCAAAACGTCAAAAACACCGAAATCTGGACTTTGGTCGCTCCCCTCACCTCCATCCATGACTTAAAGTATAGCAGGTTCCTGCCCTGTAATGCTCGCATGGAGGAACCACTGTCTTGGTCGTATTTTACTGTCAAAATCCTTAGGGTACTCATAATATCTCTCCTCTTAAATTTTGCGAGTTTCCACGTTTTCTCTGAGGACGAGTTTTGATTACAGAAAATCTGACTTCCAAAACAAGCAATTCCGTAAAGTGATGAAGCGTCGTTGCTTTTACGTCTTGTCTTTGGTTATAGTTTTATGGACTGAAACAATGCCACCATGGGAGCGTGACGCAGCGTACCTGCCTGCCTAATGACCCATACTAAGGCCAAAACTCCGCAGAATTATTGCAGCGTATGGTGAAAACTCCTAGTAAAGACAAATATATAAAACGAGTCAAGAGAATGCGAAGTCGCAGCCTATTATGTATTCAACTGAAAATCAACTTTTGGTTAGCCGCTTAACCGTCATGAAAAGAGTTGTTCGTTTTTTGGAATAGGCTCAAGCATGTCCTGACATGTACCTATGTGGGATTGATGATACAAGTCTAGCAGTGATGTTGATGAAAGTTCCAGGTAACAGTGATTATTGATTTTCCAAATCCTGATCACTAAACTTTCCTAGGTTATAAAATCAAACTTATGATAGCATATGGAGGCACAATTTGGAGAAAAACTTTTTCACATGAAACGATTACTGGCTAGACCCGCAGCGCATACATTAGCCATTGCATTGACCCAACGTCCCGCCGCACTACCCCGTGGGCCAGGCAGTCTGGTACAAGTGCATGATACCTGACGGCGTCGCTCCATCGAAAGAAGCTGCGATCCACCTACTGCCATTCTTTTGTCAGGAGTTTTCAAGTCACCCCGAAATAATTATGTAAAGCTTTGAACTTACCATAGGTTCAGTCGTAGTCAACTACCATAAAGATAGCTTGACTCCATTTTTTAGTTTTTGCCCATTACAGATTGGGCGCTTACGGGGCGCAAAATTCAATCCCTCTGACGATCTGGATTTATGGAAGATGGGCAGGTTTTTTGTGAGAATGTGGCGTTCGTTTAAGAAAAATAACAAGAATAAACTTACGCAGCTGTACCACCCCTACATGCAAAACTCACACTTGCCGTTGTCTTGCGACTGTGAAAATGTATCAGCATCCAGGGTCTAATTTAATCTTCGTAACTTAGTCCAAACATGTGCCCGCAAAAAGAGCCGCATAAATGCTTATTCAGCTAGATGCAGAACAAGGCGGGCACCGACGTTTGACCACTAGGCCTCAGGGGCGTTTGCCGCCTCTCGGCACCACACCATATGAGTGGCATCCCATGACGGGCTCCACCTGGGCTTAAGGCATCCATATCAGGCGATTACGAAACTTGCGAAGATATAGCAATAGATGAGATAGTAGTAATAGTCTTATTCCTCGGAAAAAAAACAGTACAATGGAGACATAGATTTCGGTAACATGCCTTTATCGAAACGAGTCGTAGAGGTGCTATTCCGCTATTCGTTTTGATAAAGGCACGTTGATGAAATATCAACGGACCTACATCTCCATTCTCCTGGTTTTCCCCGAGAATAATGTCCTTGTTGTTGCTGCCTCATCTGTGTGGATAATGTTCCTCGCAAATTCCCGTAACAGCTTATGAGTTTTCGTTGATGTTCAAATACGTAGATATCCCTATTGATAGATTACTTGCATAATTTAACAATAGGGATAAAATCATCTGATGGTATTTGCCATCGCTTCGGGTGACACCACAAAGCGTCTAACCGCGACTCGTTCATGAACCTGATTTGGAGTACATAAACCCGAAATAGAAATATAGAACTGACCGATTGATGTCGTCCGCACATGCTTCGGGCGTCGGATGGCGGGCTCCTTACGTGCAGGAGCACTTCTTATCTTTCGTTTTAATACGCGTTAGAAAGGTGGACTGCATTTTATCTTAACTGCTCACTCCAAGGCTGCTGTATGCAGGCATTGAGAAACGCCACCGACGCTACTCACTGCAGGCATTGAGTAGCGTCGGTGGCATTTCTGGCCTGCTTGGAACACTTTTTTCTTAGACCGCTGTCGTTGAAATGTTCAAAATTCTGAAAAAGTGTGAAGATTGTGGAGAGTATTCGGAGCCAAGGGAATGGAAAAGGCAAATGTTGCAAACGGTCCGCCCATTTCCAGCGCTTCGTAAACATATGCTCGGAGATGAAATGATAACAACCTGGCAGCCAAAATCAACAACTATTTCCCAACGGTTCGCTGGCGAGAAATGGACGGCGAAGGGCTGCTGTCCTAGACCTTCTTGAAGACCTGCGATCAAGTGATATGTGAAGTAGCCCGGCCTTCCGGTATTCTCAGGTCACTGAGGTTCCCAAAACCTAGGGTGACGTTCGTCTCCTATACACTGGCAGCTGCGTCCACGTGTTGCTGTCTCGCGCTGATGGCTGGTATGTTGTGACAATGTTAATCACGTGTCCCACCGTCACTCGCGACCGCGACACGCCATAGCCACAGTGTCATTCAGTGAGGGGGCGAGCGATAGCTGGGCAATGTCGTGGGCACGCACAAGGGCAGCGGAGCGAACTGAACACGTCTAGACTCAGTTCGGATGGAACGATAATTTATGTTCGTTCTGAAAAATGAAAGTAGTATTAAGCATTCGTCTGTTTATTATGTGGCCGCTACCACCGAATCGCTCAATTGATGCTTTTGCTCACCAATCCCCCCCCCCTTCCCTCGGCCACCCCGTCGGCTTGTGCATCTCAACTGATCTTGTGGCGGCCTCCTACTTCACATCAAGTCCTCTGTCTGCCTGCCGACATTCCCTTCCCCGCACAGCCGTGTTAGCCCTCTTTCCATCTGCTGATACCTCCCGGCCGTTTCCCGTGGGCAGCTACGGCTGCAACCACGTCGGTCCTCGCACCTACCTGCAAACTAATGACTGAAGGCTGCCCTAGCGGTCGTAGTCGGACGACACCCATATCGCAAACTTGTGAGCTCCTTTATTTTTTTTTTTTTTTTGCTCATCGCCTCCACATAGGGGGGTCATGGCACGAACGGTTACGCTTTTGCAGCAATATGCGACGCAGGCGCCTGTCGCTTTTAAATATGCATGTGAAGATCTGTGAACCTGCTGCTGTTCCCGCTGCTGCTGTTGCTGCTGCTGACGCCCCTCTCCCGTCTCGGGCAGCTGCAGCCGTGCCTGCCGTCCGAGTCGTGCGGCGCCATCCGCATGGACACCTACTCCACCTACTACACGTGCAGCTGCCCGGCCGGCCAGCTGTGCCTCTTCAAGGAGGAGTACCGCAAGAAGGTGAAGCGAGATGTGCATCAGTTGTTCTACAGCGGCCGCGCCTACGTCGGCGAGTGTCGCGCCGTCCACCGGTAGCGGGTGGGGTAGCCGTCGCAGCCGCCGTCCGCAGAGCTCTGGACATTCACAGAGCTGCACGGTACTTCGTCCAGCACCGTGAAGCATAACGCTAGGTCAGGCGTTGGAAGCACAAGCGTTCTGAATCCGTGGGTGGAGATGTGTGCCCCATTGGGAGGGGTTTGCACCTCATTGAGGTGCAGGTGGCCATGTATGTAGCTTGTTGGCCATGCAATGTTGCAATGCGTCATGCCGATGGCAGCAAGGGACGACGGAGCCCAGATCGGTGGTCAGGTCTGTAAACACGACTCGGTACACGGTCATGAACGAGAGGCCACAAACTGCGCCAGGCTGTCCCCAAATAATGCATCCACTGCACACACACAGTTGCTGTGATGTTCGAACACCAATCCATAGCTGAATGATCAGTAATAAGGTACGCCTGGTCCGGAGGCTGCCAGGGCCCGAGCGCTTCGGCGTAATGAACTGCAGTCGTGGAGGCCGCCCTGGGATTGGCTTGCGTGCCGAGCGCGGCTGTGATCGGCTTGGTCTGTGCAGCACGCAGCGCTGCCGGCTGCGTCTGCGATGTGTGAGGGTCAGGCGTCAGATCCCATACCGTGGTGATGGGACGCGTGCTGCCGGCTGCGTCTGCGATGTGTGAGGGTCAGGCGTCAGATCCCATACCGTGGTGATGGGACGCGTGCTGCCGGCTGCGTCTGCGATGTGTGAGGGTCAGATGTCAGAGCCCATACCGTGGTGATGGGACGCGTGCTGCCGGCTGCGTCTGCGATGTGTGAGGGTCAGGCGTCAGATCCCATACCGTGGTGATGGGACGCGTGCTGCCGGCTGCGTCTGCGATGTGTGAGGGTCAGATGTCAGAGCCCATACCGTGGTGATGGGATGCGTGCTGCCGGCTGCGTCTGCGATGTGTGAGGGTCAGATGTCAGAGCCCATACCGTGGTGATGGGATGCGTGCTGCCGGCTGCGTCTGCGATGCGTGAGGGTCAGATGTCAGAGCCCATACCGTGGTGATGGGACGCGTGCTGCCGGCTGCGTCTGCGATGTGTGAGGGTCAGATGTCAGAGCCGATACCGCGGTGATGGGACGCGTGCTGCCGGCTGCGTCTGCTATGTGTGAGGGTCAGATGTCAGAGCCCATACCGTGGTGATGGGACGCGTGCTGCCGGCTGCGTCTGCGATGTGTAACGGTCAGGTGTTAGAGCCGATTTTGTATTGGTGGGACGCGTACTGCCGGCTGCATTTGCGGTGTATGAGGGTCAGGTGTCGGAGCCCATACTGTAGTGGTGGGACGCGTACTGCCGGCTGCGTCTGCGATGTGTGAGGGTCAGATGTCAGACCCGACACTGAGTTGGTGGGACGCTACTGGCAGCGTGCAGGTATCACGTGTGATCAGTTGCCCTCGTGCAGCCTTTGCTGGTGACGTATCCGTGGGTGACTGCTTCTTCTTCGTGCTTATGAAATGACTATTACGGCGGAGGTGAGAGTGAATCTTGTGTATCTTTGCGATGTGCTCCATATTTTTCAAGTTCACTGAGGATAAATATTTCCTGAAGGGTATCGACAAGCTAAAACTTTGTAGCTTCCTCTAAAGTGAAACGCAGTTGTTTGCACGCGTCGCAATAAAGGGCGATGTCGGTCAGCCATACACATTCTTCTTCCCTTTGCACCAAACGCCCATGCGCGGTGTACACGTGTGCATCAAGCATTCACGCCCCGTTTGCAGCTAGTGCGGAAGGGGCCAACTTTGAACCCGCGCCTCCGCAAGGCGCGTAAAAAACACAAACTGAAGGCTTTTACGGTTATTGTTGGCAACGTTACAGGTTTTCGCGGGCTTTCAGAACTCAAGATTCATGAAATCATATGCGCCTCATTTCGGCACGCTATAAGTGTCATATATCTTTTGCTTAAGCTGCGTATCAAACTGGCAAATCTTACAGCTAACGAATGTATCGCATGACAAAGAAAGGTGTATTGTGAGCTGTTCAAAATTCAGCAACAGTCAACTTATAACATCCTTACTAAGCATGGTAACTGTACCGTGCTCTTCACTGCTCAAACTGGTGGTCTCAATGAAATTGGTGTCTTTCAGTGCAAATTTAAGGATGTGAAGACACTGCTAAGAGACGGCCTTGGCGCGTGACATGTTCAACCCTATATGACTGAGTAAGACCAAACTCACAGCTATCTTTTGGCGATATGTTAGCGTCAGACGGCTTATAAATGGCGCGTGAGATCCATGTGATCTTGAGACACGACTCAACGTCGCGTCGTTGGTGATGGTGATGGTGACGCCACGTCGTTGGTGATGGTGACACCTGCGACAGCGGCGTCGTGTCTTTGCGCGGCGAAGCAACGGAAACTGCTAGAAAGTAGCTATTTTGGTTCGTGGGTTCCCAAAAGCAGTCTGCTTCACTTGCTCAAATTCTCAGTTGATCTGCATGATGGAAACATTCGCATCGAACGTGCCCACTCGCCGTCACGTCGCAAAAGGCGTCCCACTGGTCTGACAGGGCTTCGTCCCAGACGTCGAAGCAAGCGACGTCGAAAAACATGTGCACTAAGAGGCTTAGCAAAGCGCTTGCACTGTTTCGCATTGCAAATTTATGCTGCAGAATCTGCCTTGCATATCCAACTTCGCATCTACACTACTAGTTTGCCAGGGGTTTGCCATGGGCATCTACATTACTAGTTTGCCTAGTCTGGCAGGCAACGCCTGGCCATGTCACCATGCTCCCCCCCCCCCCTGGCCGTATCACCCTGTCACAGTCACAGGTAAAAGGTAAAGTCACAGGTAACGCTTGGCCATGTCACTATGCCCCCCCTGGCCGTATCACCATGGTCTTGCTGGTCACAGGCAACGTCTGGCCATGTCGCCATGCCCCCTGGCCGTGTCACCATGGCCCCCTAGTCGCAGGTAACGTCTTGCCGTGTCATCTCGCCCCCTGGCCGTGCCACCATGCCCCCCCCCCCCCCTCCGGTCTGGCCGGTCACATCTAGACTGCTGTGCCGTTTGATGATATGTGCCTAACATCCCTTGTGCATGCCTGTACGATCATCATCCCCCGTCCCCAACCATCCCTTGTGTATCCTCTTGAGCTGATATGGGGGACATGGACGGGTTCCTCTGCGAGTGCACGTATGTTCTTTTCTGCTTGCGTTTGTGTACGTTTTGACGTTATTAGGAAGCAATATTAATATTCAAGCCCCAAGGTCCTCAACAGGCAATTTTTGTGTACTAGTCTTTGGAACATCAAGCGAGACAAGAAAGCTAACTTTGGGGGCTGTCAAGAAAACCATCTATATTGCGTGTGTGTGGCTTACCATCCCTGATTTGCACATGACAAAAGATTGTGCGCATCGCCCACCCATGACATGAAATGCACTAGCTATTTTATTAACTTGCAAAAATAAAGGTCTGTACACTCCACAAGCATCGGGAACTAGCTGCATGTATGCCCCATCGGTCGGTCACCGTTCACATCACACTGGTTTGAAAGGCGCTGCCCAATGCACCGCAATGCACTGGAGGCTTTATCGTTGATGACGAAGAGGACATCTGTCCCAGACGCCAGGCCATGCATGCCAATATATCTCACGCGGGGTTCATGTTTGCTCCATAAAGGCGGCCCGACGAAGAAAGCTTAACTTATATGTGGCCTGCCTTCACGAACTAAACACAACGGCATCCAACGATATCCTCCGATGCTCTTGAAACTGCCTTAGCGCCCAGGGATAGGTGTCCAATGATCACCAGAAACTTATAAATTTATCTCAAAAGTGGCATGCCGCGATACAAAAAACAAAACAAACAAATCACTGCCCGCTGAAGTCAGATGTATAGCGGCAAGTCTCAAATTACATATCGGTGGTTCACAAAGAGATCCATGCATGAGCTGAGACACTGCTAGCCGCTCAGTTCGATCTCAGTCCGCCGTACAGTGGGGAATGACCTGGTGGCCGGTGTATTGCCACCTGGTGTTATTTCGTTATGGAAACGTTTTGGTCCATCCCGCTGTGGTCGACACAAGTCACGAAAGTGCCAATAGGACAGATATTCTGGCTTAACTGGGGCTGAGAGGTGCCGTTGGAAACATTGTTCTGTTCATTCTAGCAACAATAACATCCGATAACTTTTTATTTGGTGCATTGATTCTCATCAAACAATTTGGTAATATGCTGATTATATGTATCTCGCTCTTTATGTGTTTCAAGGTTATCTGTTGAAATCCACCAGCTCTCACCATCAGCTCCATCAAATCATGGCAGACCGCTTGACAGATGATTGTTTTAGAGAGCTCTTCATGCCGGGTCCACAGCGTGGGCTCTATACTTGATTTAGCGACATACTTGATGTCGGGAGTACTTCAAGATCGCTCATCACGGCAAAAGTAACACACGGTCGAGATCACACCTTTCCACCGCCTGGCAAAGAGCGCTTTGCATCGTACGCCACGGCCCATGCAGTCGCCGGCTTGAGGTCTAAGCCAAGCGCTAGACGGCTGTTTCGAGGCCCTCAGACCCGCATCCGGCAGCTAGTGCTGTAGTCGGTCACCGCCAGCGTCAGAGTGTAGCGCAGAGCCGCTGTCCTGTCGAAATTCAAGTTTTTTTATGGAAAGTAACACCTATAGCGAACCATGTCGAGTTCTCAGCGTTGACCCATTATCGTACTTTCGGGCCCCACTCATGGCTTTCACACAATTTCCACTGATATGAATCTTCTTTGGAGCTTTGGCAATGGAATTTCGGTCCCCATGTGCATTTCTCAGCGGCGATTTTACCGCACTGTTTGGAGCACGCCCGTGCCGTTCCGCGGCCAGGGACCGGGCTGCGGCGACGAGCTGGGCGGCGCCGGCGCCAGCTGATGAGATTAGCGGCATTACCGACGCGGCACCGGTGCGATGCCGGAGCTCAGATCGGGTGCCCGCCGCGGCCGTGCTATTTCTGAGCAGCGTGTCGGGCAGGTGAGGTGCCGCAGAGCATTACTTCGCGCGGGGCTAGTGGTAACACACTGGATCCTGTCTCACAGGGGTCAAATCAGATGACGTGTCGGCCAAGTTCGCGAATTACGTGAAACGCGCACGCAAACGCGTGTGAAGTTGTACCTATGAACACACCTGAACAGAAACGTGAAAAGAGAGCGCACGCCGCTGTCCGGTGTTTTCTCCGTAGCGCTTCACGACTTGAAGCTGGAGACGGACCGCACGCAGCGCTCTCCAGGCCGAAGACTAGATCCAAACGGCCACAGTGCTCGCTGCGCTCCCGCGCTGGACTGACGTCACCGCCGGCAGTCTGATCGCACCAGCGCGGCAGTCGGACCCCGCCGGCGGCCGTGCCAACGATGCAGCAGAGCTCAGGCGTCACAGATCGCGCTAGATCAAGCTCCGGGCACCACTCAGCCGGCGGGCCAATTTGCGGCAACGGGCCGGCGCACGCACGTCCGGCGACCGTCCCGCGCACCTGCACGCGCGGCCGCTGCGACGGGAAGCCAGGGGCGGACCGGACACGCGATGTCTGTCGCGGTTACATCTCCCGTGTCAGTTGCTCCAGGACTGAGCCCAAAGAGATGACGCATGTTCTTCATCGATCCGGGGCATGCCCGTTTCTGTCACCGTCTCGGGTTCGTGAGTGTAGTCACGTGGTCGCCCACGCCAGGAAGACAGCCGACCGCATTGTAATAATTTATTGGATGCCTCGCTACACCCGCCTGCACATGCACAGCTAGCCGGGTATGTATGTATGTACACGGCCCGATGCCGGGGGGCGGGACCGGCCGGCGCGCGCGCCCACAGCGGCCGCAGCGGCCCCGCCTCTCTACACCGGACATCCCTATCACAGACAGCTACAAGACCACCCTACCCGGCGAGTGCCACGCCTTCAAAAATAGACCTTTCGTCACGTCCCAACAAGAGGCGGTCGCGGCGGCGGCCCGCCGGGCGAGGCGGAGCGAGCGTCACAGGCTGCACAAGGGCCCGAGCACGACCGCCGCAAGTACGGCCGAGGCACCGGCCTCCGCGCGCGCGCGCGCGCACGCGGACGCGGCGAACACCACGAATGCGCCAGGTACTCGGTTGCCGGTTTGGTGATGTACTTTTAACAGGTGGCAAACTTAACAACGCTACAGCCTGGGGTGACTTACAGCCAACGGGAGGAGCCTATCGTGCACCATAATGCCACGGCATCCGTTTCGCTCACACTTCGTGCGCATGCGCACCACTCACACGGTATGTACACGGGGGGGGGGGGGGAATCAAGTGCTAAAAGGTGGCTTGACGGCTATACAGTGCATTCTGTACACGATCAACGGGAGCGACGGAGACTGACGCTTCCCGCACAAACAGTGAGCTGTGGGCAAGGCCTGTAAATGTACTGTCGGTTACAACACGCGATCAACAGAGCCTGCAGGCAAGGCGATAATTCGCAAGCTCATTGACCGAATCGCAGATGGAGACACACGAATTTGTAAGTGAACAATCCGAACCTTTTTCCGTACGCGGGCACCAACCGCGGTCCACACACCACCTTATGCTATTATGCATGTTATCTTGCAAGACAAGGGGTCGGTTAATCCATGTCCCTTTATTGTAAAGAGACCACCACCTCGAAGTGCAGGCGCACAACTTCCCTCAGACATCGGCCCCGGGCCGACCAAATTTCCACATATGGAGCACACCTCCATAGACCTCCCCATCGCCAGACAAAGAGCCGAGGTACTCTATCGCCCTCAGCGCAGGGCAAAACGGCCCTCTGCCCAATCCACCCGATCGAAAAAAACTCACATCGAAAACTCGCACCGCCGGAGCGCGCCCTAACCAAACGTAAGCGTACTCAGGCGTACACGGCACAAAACTCACAGTATAGCCTAGCAGGAGCAGACGCCCGCGGTCAGCCGCGCGGCCGGCCGGGCGGCGACGGCGGCGGCAGCGGCCAGCAGCGTCACTGCGTGTCAAAGCCGGGCTTCTGCAGCAGCAGCTGTCCGCCGTCGTAGAGGTCCCGCACGCGCTGCTGGAACTCGGGCGCGCACCACTGGTGCACCAGCAGCCGGCACTCCGAGTGCAGCGCCATCTCGAGCTTAGCGCGCAGCGAGTGGCGGATCAGCGCCTTGGTGCTCTCCAGCGCCTGGATCTGGCGGTCAGGGGGGCACGGTCAGTGAGGCGGTGCTCTCCAGCGCCTGGATCTGGCAGACAGAGGGGCACGGTCAGCAAGGTGGTGCTCTCCAGCGCCTGTATCTGGCAGTCAGAGGGGCACGGTCAGTGAGGCGGTGCTCTCCAGCGCCTGGATCTGGCAGACAGAGGGGCACGGTCAGTGAGGCGGTGCTCTCCAGCGCCTCGACCTGGCAGTCGGTGGGGCAAGGCCAGTGAGGTGGTGCCCCCCAGCACCTGAATGTGGCAGTCAGTGGGGCACGGTAAGCGAGGCGGTCAGCCAGGCGGGGCCAGGGCTCCGGCCGGAGAAGGCACAGTGGGGAGGCCGGGGCTCTGGTCGGCTAAGTACGGTCAGGGAGGGGAGGCAGCAGGGAGAGGTCACGGAGGGCGGGATATCGATTGGATTCGGTACCCAGGCCTCAATTTGCAAACGCCAGAGGACATCGAAAAAACACACCACGACTGCCGTCACCAACACCCAGAGCATAAACGCGCAGGTCCCGTTCGGTGCACGTCAGGCCCCCCCCGCCCTCGGCAATCCATCCATCTCGCACCACTAAATTGCCAGCACCAGCGCCAGCGCCGCCGGCGGCCAGAGCGCGTCGGGCCGCGGCGCGCTCCGGAGCTCCCCCCCCCCCCCCTGCCGCGGAGGACGGGACGGGGCGAAGCGCGTACCTGGGCGGCGTTGTCGAGCACCTGGCGCGCCTGGGCGATCAGGTCCTCGTAGGCGGTGGCCGACCAGAGCAGGCCGGTGGCCAGGTTGGCCGACAGCGCCTCGCTGCCCGTTATGGCACGGCCCGTCATCATCAGAGCGCCCGCCTGCCGGGACACACGGACTGCCGTCAGCCGGCCACAGAGGCGGCGACACCGACACACCATGCCGAGTCACTCGGCCAACGAGAACCCCATCATGCATCTGAGTGACCACCGGAGCCTTCACGACCAAACCTTTCCCACATCCTGGATGCTATAGGAAATATTCTCCATATGTCTCCAGTGTAGAGAAAATCGAACAGGTCTTTTGTTATCAAGACCGACTACACACAGTCAAGGGCCATACGATGGCTACTGACCGCACAATCACAAAGCTGACAGCGCGACGTATGATATGATCGTATTCACATTCCAGCCCCCCACCGTACGACGGGCCTCTGATCTGATCGTAATACAACTGGATTCATCAGGAATGCTCAAATGAGTGCTGACAATACACCCGCCGAAAAACATCAATTTTCTTATCACTGCAGAATCTGGAGTACTGACCGCACCAGCAACTAGTCACCACGGACCCAGCGCAATCATGCACGCAAAGCCTGAAGTCAGAATGGCTGCACATCACGACCCCGTTCCCCATCAACCCAGCCCGGCTGCCGCGGCGGCAGGCCCCTCACCTTCATGTGCCCCAGCAGGGTGGTGAGCGAATGCGTGGCGCCACCTTCCGGCACAGTGCCCAGTCGCGAGTACGGCAGCTGCAGCGTGGCCTTCTCGCTGACGTAGACCAGGTCGCAGAGCGGCAGCAGGGCCACCCCCAGGCCGACGCAGGCGCCCGTCACGCCGGCCACCAGCGGCTTGCCGAAGCCGGCCACGGCGCGGACGAACTCCCTGCCGGAGCGCAGGGCCCGGTCAGAGCGGAGAGAGCGGCGCACGGCTGCCGCTGCCGCCGACCACCGGACAGCCCGCCTTAGTGTTCTGCGACGAGCCAACCCGCGCTCGACTGCATACCGACAGAACGCGGCAGAACGGTCTCAGACGGAACGTGCGGCACCGCACACCGCATGGAAGGCATCGCCAGAAGGCGCAACACGCGTCACTAGCGCCGACGCAGCGCCACTCGACCCGAGCGCTCACTTGAGCTCCCTGGCGAGCTCCTCGGCGGCGCGGCGCCGCTTGTCCGGGCTGAGCCCCAGCAGGCAGGTGTAGTCGAGGCCCTGGCAGAACGGGCCGGCCGATGAGGTGAGCAGCACGGCGCGACAGGCCGGGTCCCGCTCACAGGCGGCCAGGTACTCCCGCAGCTCACGCATCACCTGCCGCAGGCGGACGCCAGGTCAGCACGGCCACCCACGGTCACGCGTCCCGCTCGCGGGCTGACACCCACTGTCACCTCACCAGATCAGCACGGCCACCCAGGATTACGCGTCCCGCTCACGGGCTGACCACTGCCACCTCACCAGGTCAGCACGGTCTCACATCCTACTCACGGGCTGACACCCACTGCCACCTTCACCAGGTCAGCACGGTCTCACATCCTGCTCACAGGGCTGACACCCACTGCCATCTCACCTCAACACAGCGGTTAGGGCGGCAAACTCACATACAGGACCGGGTCTACTCACAAGCCGCTTGGTGCTCCCACATTATCTGAACACATTCAGCCACAGCCAGACCAACCCGAACACGACCCCAACATGCAGTCATGCCAGCACCATCATCGCGATACCCTTATTTTCCACTGATTCGAACGCATTATCGAAACCCTCACAGCAGGCCAACTCGTCCCACGGGACCGGCGGCAGACTCGACGGCGCGCCGCCCCCCTCCCCTTCCCTCCCCCCCTCCCGGCACGCCCGCCCCGGCGGCGTCGCGCCGCCCGCACCCACTCACCTGCACGTTCAGGCCGGCCTTGAGCCGCGTCGTCACCGGGCACAGGATCACCTGGTGGAAAGCGGTCGAAACTTCTTGACGCAGATCTCGCGGTGGCGCACCGTGCCCAGGTTGGAGCGCGAGCTGGCGCGCTCCCGGTCCTCCGGCACCAGCTTCCGCTTGGCCTGCTTCAGCGTGGCCAGCTCGAGCCGCTTCTGCAGCGAGCTGTAGCCTGCGGGCGAGGGAGCAAGTGTTGCTGTGGGTTGGGCGGCGCGTGCCGGCGGCGCTGCGCGCGCACAACAAGGCCGGTCACGCTGACGCCGGCCACCGCAGACGCAGCAGACACAGGACAACGGGGACCAGCCAGTCCGCGGAAGGTATCAGTCAGTCTAAAGACCTCTGACCGCACCCCAGCACAGAACGATTCTGTATTATAATGGTGAATGAGATGCATCACACAAAGGAGTGCAAGGGCATATGCTTGATCCTGGTAAGGCAAGCAAACTGTAGGTGGCTGTGAATGCTACCGTAAGCATCCATACCATAATAGACGTTGATCGATTTCGTCTTAACCTTCCTCAATCCACCGGAGATCTAGCAGAATGTAGCACTTACTGAGTGAGCTGGGGCTGGTCGGCACTGGATTTGACTCCAAAGGCAGCGGCAGGGGCGAAGAGCTCTTGGACGACTTGGACGAGGGTGGCGAGGGCCTCTCCGGTCCCACAGGTGAATTGGACTTCACAGCAATGATAGTTTCCTTCCGTTCGCCGTTCTTCACGTCTTTTGTTTTCCTCTCGATGATGTTCAAGTTCTTATCCTGTGTTATCTTGTGCAGCTTCTTCTTTTCCGCAGGGGCCCCTGACTTCACCGAATGGTCAACAGAAACATTGGAGGGTGACTTCTTCCCATTTGCCTTTACCTTCACTGGTTGGAAAACGGACACACTGGAAGGCGATTGTTTGCCGTTGGTAGTGTCGACTTTCTCCGTGGTGACTGGTTTTTTAGGTTTAGACTGGATGATGCCTGAGACTTTGGTCTTCTTTGTAATGTCTCTGGACGGAGACGGACGTTTGTTTAATTTGGTCAGTACTTTCGTCCCAAGCTTTTGATTTGAAGTTTTCACAGCGGTCCCATCCCTCTGCTTTTTGTCGCCCTTTACCATACCCTTCACCCCGGCCTTCCGGCCCTCTTTCCTCTTCACAAGCTTCAGTCTGGCTGCCGCAGCCGCTGCCTTTCTTGCCTGCTTGGCGTCCGCCTGCTTCTTCACCTTCAGAGCTTTTGCCTTGATCTTGTTCGCGGCGCGCCCCCTCCCCTTGGCACTCACACTTTTCCCCTCAATCCTCACCGTCAACTTCCCAGGCGGATCGATCTTCCTGAGATCGGGTGGAGGAGACGCCTTCTTCACAGTCACCTTTGGTTTGTACACGAGCTTCTCCTCCGCGCTGGTCCTCGCTTTCCGCTTCTCACCCTTAAGCGCCTCCATCTCGGTGAGGATGTTGATCGCACCCTCGTCCAGAAAGAGCGCCTTCAGGACGCGCGAGAGCGGCCGCTTCTTGGGGCGCGGACTGACGTCGATGCTGGACGGCCCGGAGGACGTGTCGCTGCAGCGGCTGCTGGAGGCGTGGCGCCGCTTCCTGCCGCGGGCCGCCGGACCGTACGACGACGGGACGGAAGACGCGCCGCCACTGCCGTTCGTGCGGCGCGGCCGAGCGTCCGCCTGGGGCGCGGCGGCCGGCACGCACGCCGCGGCACTGCCCACCGGCTTCTCCTGGGTCGCTGCCGCGACCGGCGGCGGCGGCGGCGCGGGCGGCGGCGATGACGGCGGCGGAGGCGCCATTGTCACCGGGGCCGCCTCCGCCGACGGTGCCAGGCGGGGGTGCGCGCGCGTGCGACGCACCAGCAGCATCCGGGCCGGCGAGCCGTCCGAGTCCGAGGCCGGTGACGCGTGCGCCATCTTTAAGTAGGTCTTGCGGATGAGCAAGCCGCTGGCCGAGCGGCTTGCGTCCTGCACGTCCGCCTTCAGCAGGTCGGCGTCGGCGGCCGGCTGCGTCGGCGACTGTATCGTGGGCACCATCAGCGTCAGCGGCGGCATCAGCTTGACGTTCTTCCTGGGCGGCTCGCCCGGCGTGCCCACCGCCAGCGCTGCCTCCGAGCGCTTTCCGTACGTCTTGGGTGGTGTGGCGATGCCACCGCCGCCGCCGCCGCCGGCCATTGACGCCTCCATCTTCTGCGGACTGGGCGCCTTGCGTTGCAGGATCTTGAGCTGGGCCAGCGCGATCATACGCTTGCACTCCTCGCTGGTGTCGCCGTTGGCCGACGCCTGGTCGGCGGCTGGCTCGGAGTCACCATCAGCCAGCCGCACGATCGGCTTCAGGCTCGCCGTCGCCGCCGCCGGGCTGCGCCGCAGCTGTTCGCCCGTGGCCACCAGCCGAGGGGGCGTGCGCAGCGGCTGGTCGGCCGTTCTCAGCGGCCGTGGCGGCGTGCGCAGCAGCTGGTCAGTGGAGCTCGGCGGCCGCGGTGGCGTGCGCAGCAGCTGCTCCGTCGCGCTCAGCGCCGGCCGCTCGCCACTGCTGATCAGCTGCTTCAGGCGACCTGCGGCAGTAGCGAGCGCTGGAGTAGGCGTTGGCCGCCAGACGCAGTAAGCGACAAGGACGGGCCACCACAATCTGCCAACAGGCACCAGCACGCGTGTGACGTCAGCACGCTCGGACCATCCAAACCCCGTAACCTCCGACGCCACAGTGGGTACGACTCATCCGGGACTTCGCCGCTTGCACCACCGCAGATAAGCTGCTGACGTGACATTCATGACACATGCGATATCCTCCCAACCAATCCACAAACCAGGCCCTGAAACCATGCAAACCGACCCAGCAATCTTGCTCCACCCCACTTTGGCAGCAACATCTGCCCTTAACAAGCCCACTCTGCAAAATCAGCACACATTTACGACAGCTCTGCTGCCGCAGCGACCACGCGACGCGTGCTGCCCGCGGCCCCGCCGTCTCCGGAAGATGACAATCGCGCGGCGCCGCTCACCTGTGATAGAGATGCGTGCGGCTGCCGACGGGATGAGCGGCGGTGGCGGCGGCGGTGGCGGCGGCGCCGGCGGGCTGGCCGTCGCACCCGGCTCTGGCGCCGGCTCGCCCAGGCCCTGCGCCAGCGCCTTGGCCATCGAGTCGCGCACGCCGCGGATGAACTGGGTGCGGTGCTGGGCCGGCGAGGAGGGCGTCTCCAGCGGCGCCGACGGGGCCGGCATGGTCATCGGCCGCACTGCAACGGAGCAGTACCGGTCAGTGACAGGGCAGCGCCACTGGTGAGAAGCGCCCAAAAGGGCAGGGTCAAGTGGTCACAGGCCCCATTGCAAGGGGGGTAGATGTCATCAGGGTGTGATGGATCTGAGTGTGATGATCAGGGGGGAAAATGGTGATGAGGGGAGCCAAGGATCATTTGCCCGATGTCATGGAATTAGACAGCATAACCAGTATTGCTCCATGACATGCATGCCAATCGATGACATTCAGGTTTTGCATGGCTGGTGCAGCATATAGCACAATCACACATGACACTTTACAAGATTAGTTCTTATCAGCTTAAAACTGATAATGTTCTTGTGTGTAGTTTGACCTTTCCTTTAAAATCTGAAAAGCTAGTTTGAAGGGCACTACATCTTCATGCTTCATGTTAGCATATTTTCAACAGGAAACAGAGATTGTAGAGATCAGCTTGAGGATATCCATTTCTAACAAATATTGTTACTCAAACACAAGCTTCAGCACCCAAATGCTTCATTCAACTTAGGCTATGTTCAAATCAGCATGCCCCCTCACTAATAAATGGATCAAAAGGCTGACATTACTATATAATCCTCACTCAAAAATTTAATACACACATTCTCACATTAATGCATCTGAAGCCCTATGCAGCATCAGAGGCTGGCTGCCTCTCCCCATCCAAAAAGAGATAAAGTAAAGATAGGAGGCCACCCATGGGTGGGGTTTGTTGCTATGTATTTTAACTTGCTGTGTCCATGCTGACAGTGCTGGTGTCATATTTTCCAGGCACTAAGGTTCAAAATCAGACCATCCCAGCAGTTTGCACACTTGTATGCCCAAGCAGATTCAGTTACCAGAGTGCTGTCACTAATATGGAACCATAGAGAGGACAAACCTCCAAGTAACATACAAATGGGTCCACATGACAGACACAACTATAATCACATTGCAACATTGTTAACATCAGTGCAACTGAATATGGCTTCAAAGTTGACAACTAGTCACCAAATGATACACTTAAATGAGCCTTATGCTCAGGGTACACAAAAAAGATTGAAACATAATGTATCCATTTACAATGCATATATACATTGTCACTTTTTGTCAACCAGGGCATAAGGGGCAGATTAAGCAGATTAAGGTGCAGATTAAGGTGCAGATTTGCAAGCAGATTAAAGCATGCTGTTCATTGCCATTCTCTAAGCTATGTTTTAATTAATTATAATTTTATTCAAGTCAGCATCAGCACATAAATTTATATTAACAAAAGATTGTTATCCAAAAACAAACAATTATAACTTATTCAGGTCAACATCAGCACAGAAATTTGAATAAACAAATGCTTTATCTAAGTTTCACAAGGTTGGGATCAAGTCACACTATGAGAAGTCATCACCAGAAGAACCAAGGTTAATGCCTAAATCAGTGACTAGTCTTAGAATAATATTCTAGTTAGTCAAATCAGCCCAGACATTTTACAAGGAGCCAGCTGACCTGGCTGACTTGGGGGCTGACATCACTAACAATATTTTTGATGTTAAAGAGATTGTTCCACATTTGTAAGGGGTTTTTGAACTGAACTATCTTGAAGATCATATGGTGCAATTTGCAGCCCTGCCCATTTAACAACCTAAACCCTTCTGGCTTCTAGGCTGCACACCCATGAAGGTGTACAGACTATTTTGTAGACTTTTGAAGGCATCCATGATGCCTTGAAATATGGATGAATGCCTTACATGGTGAATGCCTTTCAAGGCATCTACCCATCACCCACACATCCATGATGCCCTAGTAACATCATTAAAATCCAGCCATCCTATTGGCCATGTGGTGATCCAGGCCAACAACATAGAATTGTTCAGTCATTCATATCTGGCATCCATGAGCACAATTTCCAAATTTAACAGCCATTAATCAACTGTCAATCAATGTTGTGCAAGGTATTATGTCAAATCAAACAGGAGCACATCAAGGAATTCTAAGTCAAGTCATGCTGTCCTTTTCACTTAAGCACCCCTTTCCACTTAAAAATACACCAACAGTTATAAGTGAGCTTATGTCATAACAGCTGATGATTGCTTCAAGATCTTCAAATGTGGAATGTCCCCCACAAAGGAGCCAAAGGCTGCTTGCCAGTTCACATGAATGTTGGCGGGGATGGCCGGATTACGGGAATACAGAGTCTGAATTGTAAGAATTGATAACTGAACATGAGCTAATGATTCACTTGAGAAATGGAGATTATATTTCATATTGTATTTCAATTCTAGAGGGTGCACTATTATCCAGGTGACAATCCTTTCTTACCCAGGTGTCTACTTATAGATGTAGAAATTTTATCTCAAGCAGATAAGCAGGTAGAGCTAGATTATAATTAAGAACTCAGAAGCAGATAAGCAGCAACTATGATGCCCTGATCACCAGAATGCCTCATCAGCCCAGCAACTTTGTTTGAAACTGAAAATGATTATCACCACCATTTAGAGTGCATCACCAATTTTAATAGATTTTGAACCAAATTACCTTTTTAGTTTCAAATTACCTTTCTAGCATTTCTTGGTAGTCATGATGCCTTCATGTGTGATAATCGTGCATGATTCAACCAACTGGCAATAATTTTGTGCTTTCTGCTCTGATATCATATTTATAAAAAAGCTGCTAGTTTTTAATGGCTTTCCAGGTCCTTGATATGTAATGCCTTCACAAGCCTTGAGTTGCCTCTGGTTGGGAAAAGTTTTCCAAGTATATGTGTGTTCTGAGTTGGCAAATTATATGTTGAAAAGTATATACATTTACTTCAGTTTAAATACCTTATTGAAAAGAACTGTGATGAGAACTACAAATGTTTTCATAAACATGATTTTCCCTGGCATCTGCATAATATAAGTGGATGGAAAACATAACACTGAAGGAACTTAACTGTATTCTGTACACACTTCTAAAAATTAGGGTGCATTTATGTAATGAGATAATTTGGGTTATATTTCTCAATTTTGAGTACATTGGTCCAAGGGCTAAGATTATCTACTACAATCCTGTAACTCTTGGCAGCAGGCAGCCTCCTCCAGCCTTGCTGTGTATGCATTAAGTTAAGGTCAGGTATGATTGCAAATTACCTTTCTGTGTAATAACTAATAGGTGATACTGATTGAAATTGGTGATATAAAAACCAGGAACCTTTTCAAGATTAATTCACCAAATTACTTTTTGTATGCATCATAGCATTCTATAAATGTTTACTAATTTATGTCTATGAAAAACCATGATTGTTCAGCAAATCCCATGAACCAATGCTAGACTCAATTATCAACTATTGCTCAATGTGATTTCAAGGGTGAAGGAATGTCTACTTAGGTATCAGCCTTTCCACTATGATTTGAGCAACCATGATTTTG